CCCCAAAACCCCAAAACCCCAAAACCCCAAAACCCCAAAACCCCAAAACCCCTGGTTAAAGGGCATTTATTGTGTTATTATTAATTTATTAACCGCAAATTATGAATAGGCTGGGCAACTCTGTTTTTAAGATTAGGCATGCAAATAGGGTGAAAGGATATAGAAGTGGGACTCAGAGTGCTCTGAGGTCATTTTCGACTGGTTTTAAGCTTCCAAACGAGTTTTTGGACAGGTATAGGGATCAGAAGGTTAATTTTGGCTTTAATGGGCTTGGAGAAATCGCGTATATCAGGACTTATTCTAGAAAGAAGGAGGATGGGACTAATGAACAATGGGCTGACACTGTAGAAAGGATTGTAAACGGGTGTTTCAGTATGATGAATGAGTTTGCTCCTAACGCTATGTTCGAAGAAATGCAGACAATAAATGCAATGAGGATGTACGACAAAATATACAATTTTAAATTCTTACCCCCTGGAAGAGGTATATGGGCTATGGGAAGTCAGATTACACAGAAAAAGAAGCTGTATACTGCTCTGAACAATTGTGCTTTTGTGTCTACTAAACTTCAACCTGGAGTTAAAAACACTCTTCCTTTTACATTCCTTATGGACTCCAGCATGTTGGGTGTCGGAGTCGGTTTCGATACGAAAGGATCTGGATCTATGAGAGTATTTCAACCAATTCAAGACAAATTTCTGGAATATGTTATTCCAGATACTCGTGAGGGGTGGGTGAAAAGCGTTGAATTGCTACTGGATTCCTACTTTGAGGAAGGGAAGCCTAAGGTAAAGTTTGATTACAGCCAAATTAGGCAAAAAGGGCTCCCACTCAAAACCTTTGGAGGTGTTTCTTCAGGACCAGAACCCTTGATGCATTTACATGAAATGTTAGAAAACAAACTCAGCAACAGTTTGCCTGGAGGAACTCTAAATGTCAGAGACATTGTTGACATCATGAACTTTATTGGAAAGTGTGTCGTCGCAGGAAATATCAGAAGAAGTGCAGAAATTGCTATGGGAGAGTTCAATGATAAAGAGTTTATTCAACTGAAAAATTATGACAAATATCCTGAACGAATGGACTACGGATGGGTTAGCAACAACTCAATACTAGCTAAGACTGGCATGAACTACTCTACTGCTGTTGAGAATATACTATCTAACGGTGAACCCGGATTTGCTTGGCTAGAGAATATGCAAAATTATGGCAGAATGGTAGATCCAGCTGATTATAAGGATACAAAAGCATGAGGTGGAAATCCTTGTTTAGAGCAGACTCTTGAGTCCTTTGAAATGTGCACTCTTGTAGAGACATTCCCAAATCATCATTCAAGTTTTGATGATTTCAAAGATACTCTTGAGTTAGCATTTCTTTACGCAAAAATAGTCACCTTGGGTCTTACTCATTGGAGTGAAACAAACGAAGTGATGGAAAGAAACAGAAGAATAGGATGATCAATGAGCGGAATTGCTCAATTTGTATCAGATAGAGGATTAGAAACACTTCGTAAGACTTGTGATCAAGGATATAATTATCTCAGAGAGTATGACAGTTATATATCAAAACAGTTTGATGTTCCTGAATCGATAAAAATCACTTCCATAAAACCATCTGGGACTGTATCCTTGTTAGCAGGAGCTACACCTGGGATGCATTTCCCAGAGAGTCAATACTACATCAGAAGAGTTAGACTGTCAAAGCACAATGCTTTAGTACCTATCCTCCAAGAAGCTGGATATAGGATTGAAGATGATGTGTACACTCCAAATACTGTCTGTGTCGAAGTCCCTGTTGATCTTGGCCCAAAAATTAGAACTCTAGAGAATGTTTCTTTATGGGAGCAGTTATCTCTTGCCTCATTTTTGCAAAAGTATTGGGCAGATAACCAAGTCTCTTGAACAGTTTCCTTTGATCCAGAGACTGAAAAGGATCAGATTGAACCGGCTCTGAATTATTTCCAATATCAGCTGAAAGGTGTGAGTTTCTTGCCTAAAGCTGCTGGTTCATACAAACAGATGCCTTATGAGAAGATAGACTCTACTAAATATGAAGATATTTCCTCTAAGATAACCCCTGTTGAGCTCAGTAAGAAGCTGTCAGAGTCTGAAGGTATTTTCGAAGACACTGAAGGTGAGAAATATTGCGACAGTAGTTCTTGACAGATAGGTTAAACAACCTTTTCCTCAAACTAGTCTCTAGGGATAATATAATTCTTCATATTTTCATAACCATAAGTCCTTATATGATTTATCCCTAAAAACTTTAAGGGGTTTTGGGGTTTTGGGGTTTTGGGGTTTTGGGG